TGAAAATAGAAGATGCCCCCGAATTCACATACAAGGCTATAAATTATTCCAACTGACAGGTCAACAGGAAAGGTGGGGGAGTAGCGATGTTGTCAAGACAAATTTAAATTGTTGGTAGACAAGAAATTAAATTTAGAAGCGTCAAGCCACGAATCTTTTTGTTTCAGCTTCTCAGGGCCGAAAAAAAACTAATTTTGGTGTGTTTTTACAGGGCCCCAAACTTGATAGGGAGGCAGTAAACTTCTATGGGATAAAATTTCCCGAAAGGGCATCTACATACGAAAATGTGCTAAGGGGAGATTCAACTATAACAGATTGACGGGAGAAATTTTGACGGGAATTAATCAGGTGACTTTCTTGATACGTCCAGAATTGTTTTTTAAAACAGTTTGGACAGAGCCAACGGGGGGAAAAACCCCCCCTTTGACTTGGTTCTTGCCAGTGGGGAAAAACACTAATTAATAATCTTGAGGTTAATGAGACTTGGGAAAGGATCACAAATCACTCAGTTTTAATATATCAGGAATTCCCAAATAAGGGCAATCAAGTCTCCGTCCATGATTTTCGTTTTGGCTGTTTTAAAGGGACTGAAAAATTACTTAGGGGGGCTGAACAAATGACCTGACTAAGGGTCAGGGTAGGTGTGATGGTGCCGTTTAGCTTTTCCAGGGCATAGTTCTAGCTGCTCAGTAAAATTATTTTTCCAAAAGGAATCAGATCAAACAAAAATGACCCCTAAAGGAGAACAATAGTTAAAATATCTTTTTGGAAAAAGAGAGGCATATAAGGCAAATCAAAAAAGGGGGGCAATTAAGAAATCATATATTCATTTAAAGAGAAAAAAAAAAAGGGAATTAGAAAAGCAAAAAGAGATTATAGGTTAAAGTTGCAAGAGAATCGAAGACAAACCCCAAAAAGGGATTTTTTCAGTATCAGAAGTAAGATCAGGGACAAGATAGGCCCACTCAAAAGTTCCTCGGGTCAGCTCACTGACAGTGAAAGAAATGTGTAAAATTTTTTTAACACAACTTCCTCTCAGTTTTACACAGGAGGATACCAGCGATTTTCCAGTAATGATAAATTATTAGAACAGACATGAAAAACTGTGCACATTAGGGCAAAAGTGCATGGTCCTTAGGCAAATAAAAAATTTAAAACCAAACAAACCCCCGGGCCCCGATAACGTATGCAAGGTTTCTAAAGGAATGTAAAGAGGAGCTTAGCAAACCTTTGGCTAATTTTTTCAACATATCACTAAAACTGGCGGGGTCCCAATAATGGAAAATGGCAAATGTGTTCCCTTATTTTTAAAAACAGGTACAGGCCCTTGCTTCAAACTATAACCAATAAGCCAAACCCCATAGGGGGAAAAAATTTATGGAATAAATAATTGCCGGGGCATTCGTACCACCTTAAAAAGCTAAATTAATAAACGAATCTCAGAGGGTTTTTTCAAGGGGCGTTCCTCCTTACAATTTATTAACTTTTTTCACAAGGTTTTTGAGGGGGTAATCATGGTAATGAAATAATTGTGTATGGACTTCAAAAGGTTTTTGAGGGGTCCCACATCAAGACTTTTTGGGGAAAATTAAAGCACAGGGAATAGGGGGAGAAATTTTTTCCTGGAAGGGCATGGTTACAAATAGGCAGCAGAGATTTTTGCATAAAGGGGGAGAAATCAAGTGGGGAAGCGCCCCACACGTGTTCCCACAGGGTCAGTTTTTGGGCCCCCTCTTTCAAAATCTCATAAACGACATAGAGAGGGAAAAAGGGGGCACACGGCAAGTTTTCCGAGACACCAAAATAGGCCGTCGAATTCTTTCTGACGAGGACTTTCGAGCATCCAGAAGATTTGAATAGACTGATGCAGTGGTCGAGAAGTGGCAGATGCATTTTTAATAAGACAAATGCAAATTCAAAAATTTTGGGACGGGACAATAACCATGCCACAAAAACAAATAAGTAGATCTTAATTTAGGGTTTGCGAAAAAGATTTGGGAGTTCGGTTTAGCAGTAATCTAAAACCCAAAACAACAGTCAAAAGTTTTCACAAAAAGCTAATAAACCCTTTGGGCTCAAAACAAGAACATAAATAATAGATTCCCGGGTTGTTCTTAATTAACACCCCCTTTTTTACCCCTCATTTAGATTATGTTTCACAGTTTTGGTCACCGTAAAACAGAATGGATATAAATTCTCTAAAATGTACAAAGGGGGATGACAAATTTTGATCCCATGATCAAAACCCTTTCCCCATGGGGAAAAACAAAGGGGCCCTAAACGACTCTCAGAAAGACGAGAATAGGGGGGATATGATGGGGTGTATAAAGGGAAGACGGGAAAAAAAAAGGGGGTTTAAATTGGCTAAAAATTCTAGCCTAGACAGGACTCGCAGCAATGGTTTTAAGTTGGAAAAACAGATTCAGAAGGATATAGGAAAGTACTGGTTTGGTAATAAGTTTGGAGAGTGGAACAAACTCCCAAGTACCGTTATAGGGGCCCAGAACTTGGTAGCTTTAAAAATAGGTTGGATAAATACAGAGTAATGTGGGGGGTGTGATTAGACCTATACTTGGCTACCAGGTGGGTTTCCCGGGTTTCCCTCCTTTAAGTCAATGTGCCCCTACCTACTAGGTTGGTGCATTGGTTTAACCCGGGTTGGGAGACTTGGCCCGGCCTCGCAGGGCCATGGGCCTTCGCATTTTTTCCTTCGTTCTTAAAGTTCTTATGTTCTTATTAGCTGGTTCTGGGAGGTCGGTTCCCATTTTTTCGACCATCGGAAGGTTTTCACCAACTGAGGGAAATTTGGAGGGCTTTGTGCAGGGGTTTTTAATGGGCTAGCCTAAGCATAAATTACCCAATAAAAAATATTTCTTTTAGTAACACGATCCTAATGCTTGGAATTTAAATTCTTCCGCATATTTAAAATTTTTTGGGATACGAGGGCACCTAGGATGATCCTCTTGCCCGGAGTTTTTCCCCCCCCAAGCTTCCAGTCAGAACAGTGCAATAGTGGCCCCGCATAATCAACCAATTTACAATATAAGCAAGATACATCATTTTCACAATTTTAACATTACACCCTACCTGGATGAAAACCGCCACAACTCTAATGCTCTCACCTTTTTTGTATTGGGACAAAGTCTCGTTACAAAAGGTCCAAAGTGGAACCTCAAAGCCTAGAACCTGTATCTGCTTACATATTCTAGAAGAGACCAAACATCAATGG